TAGTAACTAAGATGCTAAAAAACATATACCAGTAAGATATCAGATATTCCATATAACAATCCAGGAACCAACCCCAACAGAACCCTAGGGGTTGTGACTTCTTTGCTACGCGTAATGCTCATGTTCTTTCAGTAGTACGGGGCCATACTACCTTCCACACCTACACATATTTGTCTCAAGTATCATCACAACGCCCTAGAACTATATGCAAGCATGGCATGCACTAAATCCTCAATCCTAGAGGAAGGTTAAATATCTTATATCTGGCGGGTTTATACCAACAGCCTATCCATGAAACTTCCACCAACCCTGCAGCACTCGTGTATGCTAACCATACATAACGTTGGACCCTATAGAATTTTGAATACTCGGTCTTACTCTAAGCCCACAACCAGATAAGGAACAAGAAATAAAGATAAACCAAACATTCTCAGGCTATAAGATCTTAATTATGTGCGGCCGTGATGCATACACTAAGCACCTACAATAATGATGTCAATTTCATATATGGGAAAACCCTAGTCTATCAGGCATCATATAATCAGACAATTCTATCATGCAATTCTTGAAGATCCCTAGCCTAGTACTAGCATGTTGTTTTAACATATCACATAAATCAAATAATCCGTAAGGTATTTTGGGGTCTATATGCGATCCCCGGCTAATCGTACACTTGCATCCTCCTTTATTATTTTGGAAACATTTTAAGAAAATCATTTTTAGAATCTTGTCCTTAGTTCGAGACTGGAGACACGCAAGTGTTTAATCCAATTCATTCAAACCAAGGCTTTGATACCAACTTGTAACATCCATAAAAACCATGCCAAATTTAATTTCTTTTTAAAAACATTTCAAAACCAATGATTATTACTAAACTTGTTTTCAAAATAGTATAATGTCAGAGTATCCCAGAATCAAATCATAAAATCATAAAATATGAGGAGCTCTATGATTATGCCTTCGCTTTCTCGCGATCATCAAAGGTACTTGAAACATAATCAACAATAATAAGCTCGTAGCTTAGTGAGTTCCCCCAAAATACCAACGATATATAGACATAACCATATCACATAATAATAAGCAAACAACATGCATAATGAGCCATCAGTCTGACTGGACCGCATCCCTAGGACTTCATTCTATATGGACCGCTCTCCGAGCCTTCGGCACATCTGGACCGCCCCTTAGAGCCTTCAGTTTATCCGGACCGCTCGTTGGGCCTTCAGTCTGACCATATTTTCTCGCCCCGAGCCTGCAGTCTACCCGGTCCGCCCCGGGTGTCTTGGCCTACTACACACAACAGGACTTGCCTCAACCCGTTCCCCAAACCAACAAACATGCACATACATATAAACAAGTAGTTATGCAGATATAACATACCATTAACATAGCAACCATCATATAACCAGTATATTGATATAACAGGGCAACCATCCTATAACCAGGATACCGATCTAGCCGATCACTAGCATAACAACCATCCTAAAACCAGGATACATATCATAAAGCATAACTTACAATAATCCTGGATACAAATCCGAAAGGGCCAGCATTGGTACCTTCAACCCTGTTAGTATAGTGAGGACAACTCACCTCACAAGTAATCCGAAGCGAGAGTATCAACCTCCTCCAAATATAGATCCTCACTAACACCTGCCAATGGTCCAATTCCCTAAATTCCCAAATTACCAAAATAACCCCAAAAGTCAAATTGGTCAACCCTTGGTCAAAGTCAAAGTCAACGGTTAAGGTCGACAGTCCATGTTGACCCGACTCATCGAGTACAGTTCACTGACTCGTCGAGTCCTTCCAGAACTCGAGAAGTCATGAAAACCCCTAGTTAACCCATCGAGTTTCCAGGCAACTCGTCGAGTATATACGTGTCCAATTATCTGGAAAACTCTAACTGACTCGTCGAGTCATCATGCTGACTCACCGAGTTCATGCAGAACCAGTAATGAGAAAACCCTCCCTAACTCGCCGAGTTGGATTATCCGACTCGTCAAGTTCATGTGATTCATCCCATATTCCAGGAGATTCTAAGCTACTCCAATGCTCCAAACAGTAGATCTAGCCTCATTGGGCACGTTTGTCACGTAAAGTTGCAAACTTTACGTGCATGCAAGGCTTAAATCATCAAAACCAAGGTATAGAAAAGGTTCTAAGGAATGAAAAAGGTATTAACTCACTAAAGGCTGAAGCTTTATGACCTTAGAGACCAAGATGGGTCAGGATATGAAGTTGCAACTTCAAATCACCCCCAATACCCGCAATGACACATTAACATTGCTAAAATGGCCCTAAACCTCAAACATGAATAGATCTAGTTAGAAAAAGGTCAATGTAACAACTTGTTACCTCAAAACAATGCCAAGATAAAGTAGGAATCATATCCAAAACCTTTTTTCTTATTCCAAGCTTTAGTGCTTTAAGATCTCCCTTTTATAACCACCCTTAAAGCTTAAAATTCACACAAATGGAGAGTAAGCAACAATTTAGGGTTTCTGGACTCAAGAGGGGACTATAAGGGGGGCTAAGGGTGCAAATGATCCTTTAAATATGGTGAAAAACCCTAGAAATTAAGGTTTCATCCTCCAGCTCCAACTTGTCGAGTCGTGTCCTCCAAATCGTCGAGTTAATCACTTAAAACACGCGAACAAATTCGTTCCTACTTTACGAGTCAAGACATGCAACTCGTTGAGTTGACCTTTCGAAATGAAAATAAAACTATAAAGTTTATACCTGAGAGTCGGGGTATTACCCGACGACAAGCGGGGCATGTGAGAAACATATCTGTATACCGAGCGGTGCTCGATGCCAGATGAAGCCTGATGCCGGACTCTGTCCGATGCTAGGCGAGACCCGATGAAGGGGCAGGGGCCCAATATTTGTGATTATGTGTATAGTATGTGGTAGTTTGGAGAGACTCACTAAGCTTCGTGCTTACGATTTTCAGTTTTGGTTTCAAGTATTTCCAGTTGCAAAGAGAAGAGCTCGGGATGACTACATTGCACACACATCACGATGTTTGGCCTAAGATGTTTACTCTGATATTATGATTTGGAAACTCTGATAATAATGTTTTTGTGATACTATGATTTATGTTTTGATAAAATAATTTTATTAATTATGGTTTATTAAATGATTTAAAAATGAAATTTTTTGTCATAATTTTTAGGATGTTACATGGTTACCTTGGTTTTATGGAAATAAGCTTCACTAATGATTTATTAATCTAAAAAGAAAATTTTTTATGTCATGATTTTCGGGACGTTACACATATTTCCTTGATATTTATTTTTGAAACATTCTGATATGACTTTACTTTTGAAACAACGGTTCATTTTTGTAAACAATTATGGGTAGTGGTGGTTTTTTAAAATTTTAAATCTTTATGATTTTTTGAGTGTTACACCTATTAATTTATTTAAAGAGTTCTTGGTAAATTATTACCTAGTTATACATATAAGCATCATTATACATATAAGCATCATTTGCCAAACATTAAAAATTAACTTATTAATTTATTATGTTTTGGTATCGAATAAACTCAATCAAACATTTTTTTAAAACTTTGTTTTGACGTGGGATAAGTTAGTAAACATTTTTTTTAAAACATTAAGTTGTTTAAATAAGAATGGGATAATGACTTGGGAGGGTAATAAGGTTTCCAGCTTGTCCGTATTAGGTCACTAAGGTTTTTTTTGTGCGTATTAGACCAATATGGTTGTTATTACCGTTTAGAAATAGTCCTTTTACCGGTTTTAATGGGTAAAAAATACTATTTTTAAACGGTAATAGCAACCATATTGGTTTAATACGCACAAAAAAAACCTTAGTGACCTAATGCGGACAAACTGGAAACCTTATTACCCTCCTAAGTCATTAACCCTAATTATTCAGAAAACATGCTTACTAATCAATGTGACTGATTTGTTTGACTGGAAATAGTTACTTCCATTTAAACTTATCTCACAACCCTTCCAGAACTTCTAAGTCCAGAAACTCATATGATTGATGATCTTCATTACATAAATATGCAACATTTTATCAATAACTTCTTTTTTGTCATTTAAATGTTTACATGAACACATCCATATGTACAAAAGCAAAATATCACTTTGATACCTCCCATCAATGTCTAAATTTGATAACGAATGAAAATGTAAAACCAATAGGGACTTGCAGATGATGCCTATTATCAATTATTTTATAAAAAACAAAACCACAACATGAACTAAGAAATTGAAGTTGCAAAATTAATCAAAATAAGCACATAAACAAACACATACATACTATATACAACACATAAATGGAAGTTTATAAAGCATGAAACTTAATGATAGGGAAAGTAAAAAACTTAAAGGAGACTTTATAGAAAGAAAGATCACTCTTACTTGCCACAAATGGTTGAAGACATCAACAAGAAGATCAATCTGACTATAGAATCCACATGTTGTCTGATTATGACTTCAGTAGATGAACTATTGAAACGTAAGAATTGCAATTGAACTCTATTAGCATTTGAAAAGGGAATTAAGTCACTAAGGTTTTTTTGTGCGTATTAGGTCACTAAGGTTTTCAGTTTGTCCGTATTAGGTTAATGACTTAGGAGGGTAATAAGGTTTCCAGTTTGTCCGCATTAGGGTTAATGACTTAGGAGGGTAATAA